ATATTCTTTTAGTATAAACTTAAAATCCCATTAACAACTAACTATACTAACTTTTTTTCAAATGATCTCAAGTTAACACAAAAAACCAGTAAAAAGGGATTAAAAAAAGGGAAAATTTAGTAAACAAGCAGGCCCTAAGTAATTGTATTGTAAAGCTTGGAGTGTAACTTTTTACCTTTCGTACCTCCCCCCATTTATAGATAACTATTGGCTTATTGCCCAATCCTTACCCTACCCGTTTGCCCAAAGGCCTGCCAGAATGCCCAGATTGTCTGAATGTGTACCCGATGGTTATTTTGCTACTCCTTAGGTGGTGTGTTTCTTCATGTGATTCTTCAATTAACGTCGTACTGACTTTGAAAGCTCTAGAAATTCTCAGGTTGCAGACTTTGTTTGTTGGCATCCGATTGTTAAACCTTTTCATGCCTTACATTATAAAAGATTATTTATAAAGTTTTAAATGATCCTTAGATAAAAGATTGAAAATCTAAATCACTAAGAATCTAACATTTAAGTCTATCTCGTCGAAAGACGAGATGTGGTAGCTCAGCTGGTAGCAGTCTTCACTTGAGACCAATAGAGATTGAGTTCGAGTCATACCATGGTAAGTGGGAACTTCTATTGATCCCTTGAAAGAAAAACAATTTATCTTGTCGACAGTGTAAATTCATTGTTGTCGACTTCAAGGGCCAATATTTCAACGAATTTGTAGAAATCAAGCAATGATATCTTAAAAGCTCTTTCTCTCTTTGAAATTTTCTCCCCCAAATTGACCAAACCCTAAAAACTCTGCCAACCTCTCGCTGCCGCCTCCCTTCCGTAGGTGCCGGCCCGTCGCGACATCATTTTTACTGGGTGGGGGAGTTTGCTTCTCCAACATCTCCTGCAGCCTAGCGTGGCGTTGCTCCGTTCTCGGTGGCTATGGCGGTGCTTTAGCAGGGTCCCAACGTCGGTTTGGTGGGGCTTGAGGTTTTCGTCTCCGTCTGCTGCTTTGGGGCAAGCGACGGCTGAGTTCGTTACTTTGTAAACTCCCCGGGCCATCCCATCTCCTGGTGTTGGGGCGGGTGGTCTGACGGTAGGGGCTTTGGGCTGCCGGTGGTGGTGGGCGACCGATTGCTCCCGGTCGGTTTGGTGATGGGGTGTCTCTTTAGCTGGAACTAGCGGTGGGAACTCGAGGTGCTTCCGATAGGAGGAGGTTCATCTTGTGTGTTCAGGTTTAATTAGGCCTCGATTGCAGTTTCTTGATCTGGACTGATTCGTGTTTCTGTTTTTTTGTTTGGACCGTTCGTGCGTGTGGCTCGGTTGTCTGCTGCGGTTGTGGAGAGCCTTTTATTGTTTTGTTATTTTATTTATATTAGGTTTTTGTTAGCCTGTCGTTTGTAGTGGTTGTTGTTTTTCTGTTTAGTTATGTTTCTTTTTTTCTGTTGTTAGTGTATTTATTCTCCAGTCGTGGAGCGAGTATTCTCCCTTATGAGGAGGTTGTATTCTCTCCTTGGGAGGTGTTTTTGTTATGTTGTATTGTGGGTGAATTTAGCGTAAGTTGCTTGTAGGCTACCTCTGTGTAGTCCTCCCACTAGATTCAGCTGGTTTGGTTGTTTAGCTATTATTAGTTGTTTTTTAGTTGTAATTATGTGTTATTTGGTTTATATTATCTATCGTTTCGAAAAAAAAAATAGTAATGATATCTTATTATGTTCTTCTCTCTTTTATCATAAAGTTCTTCAATTTACTTTTAGTTTTATAATAGAAATTAAAATATTAGTCACTCTATTTTTGATGAAATTAATACAAAATAAGAATTGTTGTTTTAAATTGCAATTCAAAAAAATTAATCAACAAAAATTGATTAGTTTAACAAGTATCATTAAGAAAAAAAGAAAAAAGAAGTAGATAAATTAACAATCCATATCTTGATATTAGACACTATCACATCTTTTTAGCTTATAAATTCAAATTACTATTTCTTAGTAATCATTTATCCATCTATAACGCTTTAATTATTTTCTATGTATTATATTTTAACTCACTTTTTCATGCTATAAGTTTTCTATTATTTGACCAAAAGGTGGTTTAAAATAATAAATTGTTGAAAGAACGGACGGGATTTATATCACTACTAATCACATTGTTCAATATGAAAACCTGTTTGTATTTTTTCTTCCTAAATCTTAAATTTTCAATCAAGATCTTCTTATATTCCTCGTGTTTATTGTGTATTTCTAATAAGGGGTAAAATACACTAAATGCAAGTTGGATTTCCTTTGGAGAGGTGAAAGGCAATAGGCCCACTTCTCATCTTATCTCTAATAGAGAATATAAGAAAAGATTGAGAAGAAATCAACCAACCAGCCACCCAGCCACCCACCCACCATTGTCCAATATAAGAGAATATAATATAATTCGACATTTAAAAAAACCAGGAAAATTGGTCTTATTAGCGAAAGTCCGGTCGCAGATGGTGTAGCATACGCTTTTCAGACAATATATATATAATAAAATAAAATGAATCTCTTGGCATGATTTTTAAAAATAATGGTAGAAATATATGTGCAAGTGTGTTAATAATGTGATTTGTTTTTATATTATGTCAATGCATATACACACGTATATGAACAAATATATATAGTAAAAGAAAATAGATATTTTGACATTGTAAAAATAAATTGTATTTCAAGTCTAATGGGCGTGCTAAATTTGTATTAACAAACTTTATGGAAAACATAAAAATTTCGTAAAACTTAATTTTATTTCGATCAAACCACGATTCTAAAAATCGGCCTAGGCGGGCATAGGCGGACCTAGACGTTCCTAGGCGGGCTCGACGGTAATTTTTCAGTTCTTTTTAAATACTAATTAAATTATTTGTTTTTATGTTTTCTTTAAAATATATTAAAATATTTTTTTTTTCAATTTTTTAAAATCAAGGATAAAGCTTTTTAACTGTATACTAGTTATTATACAATAAACAGGAGTATTTATAATAAATTTAAAAACCTCAAGCAATGGACTTTCTTCAGTTTGGTCTAATCAAGTATTTTTACAATTTGATACATTAGGCTGGTAAGTCAAGAAAGTTTACCGGTTCTACACTAACTACAGATTCGCTCTAAAAATATATAGGTGAGCTTTTCAAAGTATTTAAGAATGATAGATATCTTGATATTAGGGATTTGTTTCGTATATCTTAATAATTAATCATGATACATTTATTAATGAACACATTATCATAATGCGAAAAATATTATAATGCTCGATTAAGAACAGCATGCCTATTTGGAATTATTCTCCCAAATCAAGAAAAGCATTTGTGAATAGACTAGAAAGGAGGGTGGGAAAAGATAGTTAACTAGTAAAAAAATTAAATATGACAATGAAATGAATAAAATAAAGTGGTGAGAATTGAATTGAAGAGAATGAGAGGATGGGTTTTATATTTATTAAATTGGTGAAAATTAGTCCACCATATAGCAATATATAATAAGACAGATTGGAATATTATGTAATGACAACATAATCTAATATAGCTTCTTGCATGTCCCCAAAGCCAAACCTTAGTGGGGCCAAATTTCAACAACTGTCCAACACAAATGCATTTGAATAATATTAATTAATAATAGGTTATGACTGGTTTCACCTTAAAACATATGCTTTTTGGGGTCATAAAAAATTTGGAAAATTAGGGTTGTGATAGCTCTAAGAAGATTTGCCTAGATTTGGTTGAAGACCCTTATCATTTTTTTTTATTTTTTTTTTTTGCATACAGACCCTTATCATTAATATATGCTTTGCTTGCATCATTTTCCACTTCCTTAAAATTCCTTTGTTTAGCTAACCACTCCCCCTTTGCTAGGCCCTCATTTTTCAAATTCTTTTTTAAAATAAGAAAAGCTTGGTCAAAACTTATATATGTGTTATTCACTAATTAAATAGACTTTTATGCATATTCATTCATTTTAGAATTTATACATATAATTTTTCTTTATTCAACATACTATTCTTGTTTTTCAACAACAATAAGACCAATAATAATATAATAATAATAATGATAATAATCATGCAAACTGGTTGGTTTCTTTTTTAAATGAAAAAGACATAAAGATTATTCATTAATTATTTATATTTTTAGTGTTGATATTTAATAAAATAAAGTAGCTAGTGTTGCTGAATAATCAGAAATGCACAAGATTGATCAATTAAATAAGTTAGATTATGTCGCACTGTAGGAGATGGGACTTGACACCTGAAGGATATATATATTATCCATTCATATCTTTTAAATTTATTATTAATATATAGGCTGTGGTTAGATTAACAATGATACATGAATCCACTATATTAGTTGGTCAATCAAAGTAATCTTTTTTTAATACCAAATTGACGTACAGTGTAGTAGATTTGTTGCAAAAGCTAGATCGCCAGCCTTCCATCCGATTGCATCCACATCTTTTTCTTGACTTTTTTCCCATATCAATATATTTAATTTAAATGAAAATACTCAATTTTCATTATTTTTTTTTTTATATTCTACGCGTGGCATATTTGTATTTAATTTACCCACAAGTGGGCTATAATTGCACAATCTTTTATTATAATAAAATAATCATAGATAATATATTCCTTGCTTAAAATTTCACACTGAATCCTCTTTGGCGAGGGAAAAAGTTTATGATGTATCCATTATATTAATATTTTATAAGAAAATGCATGCACCAGGTAGAAGTATCCTCTAAACTAATCTGACTCCATTTTTTTAAAAAATATTTATATCCATTATTGTTGACCTTTGCTTCTCCAGATGTCTAAAGAAAATATTTGCATTTTTTCTTTTTTCTTTTTTTCTTTTTCATTTTTATAGTGTGCATATATAGTCAATAGCAAATAGTATCTTGCCTTCCTATATATAAGAAGGGGGCACAACATACTTTGGGCATCATCACTACTTGCCCAAAAATATACATATTCTCCTCAAAATACTACTTCCCATATATATATATAAAAAAATGGTAATGGAAAGAAATAGTGTACTTTGTTGTTCTCAAGAGAAATCCAATTCCTATGGAAATAAGCTTAAGCTATTTGGGGTAGAGCTCGAGCCCGATCACGATAAAATGTCGCCAGCGGATAGGGACGAAAGCGTCAATTCGTCAGCATCTTCGACCGTGACAGAAAAATCGGGATCAGATCCTCGTCAACAACTACTCGACGACAAGAAATTCGAGTGCCAATATTGTTTTAAGGTGTTTGCTAATTCACAAGCTTTAGGGGGACACCAAAATGCACACAAGAAGGAAAGATTGAGGAAAAAGAGGCTTCAACTTCAAGCAAGAAAGGCTAGCATGATCAATTGCTACATTCAACCCTTTTACAACACTAGTCAACTACATAACTATAATAATAATAATACCTCTTTCAATTGCTATGGATCGAATAACCCTACATGGTTTTACGATCCATATTGCAATAATAATCCTCGTGAATCCTCAGAAGCTCAAATTAGTTTCGGTTCAGATCGATTGTACGCTGGTGTGATTGACCACGTGTCGTTTGGAGAAGACACGAGCACGTTTAGTTTGACACATGCCAATAGGTCGATTAACGACAAAACGAGGGAGCCTAATAAACCCTACATGTCTAGTTCAAAGAAAAGTTGTGCTAGGAAAAATAATTTGGATCTTAAGTTAGGGTTGAGTTTACATTCTACTATTTAAATTTTCAAACATATATATATATGTATTAGAATTTTTAAATTCTTGTATTGGCAAATATATGGGGTTAATTTTTATTTTTATTTTTTTCTTGGAAGGGTAATGTTCTTTTTTCTTGATTTGGGTTTCTTTTACACCTGATTTGTAGCTCTTTTTACGGAGCATTTTATATTATGCTAATGATAATAATGATGATAAAAATGATTCGAAATTTGTCAGGTCGATTATGGAGAAACATGATTTCTCATGCCACTTTATATTTATTTCTATTATTTACTATACAAAGAAAATATAAACTGGCATGAGAAATATGATATGATTTTCAATTTATTGATTTTTTTATATAATGATAATTTATATGTGCAGGATCGGCCATGACTTTTTAGGAAGTCAGTCAGATTTGTTATTAAAGTAGACATTAGTTTTTCAGTCAGATTTTTGTTATTAAAGTAGACATTAGTTTTTTTGATTCAAAAAAGAAGGAAAATGAAAAGGCTTATAATTTATTTTATTTTATTTTTTGGAAAAATAGAAACCAACTGCACTTTAGTTTGACAAAGCCCATCACACGATTATTAATTACATTGATTTATATGTAACATCCCTAATTTTCAGTTCAAGTATAAGAATTAGTCAGTCCATCATTTTGTTCAAACTTATTATGACATACATAACTGGATGAAACGAACGTAAATTTAAAATACGAGGATGATGGCAATGATATCGAATAAGTGATGTTTGAATTAAAAGATTTGGATATGACTTTTGCTCTTCACAAGTCACAACTACGATCATAGCTAATTTAAAATTACTACAACTGCAACACTAGTATATTTAAGTAATAAAAAAATAAATAATTTTGTTTTAATTTTTCAAATACTTCTTAAGAAATTGTATTTTATTTTTTGTTTAAATGACACTGTCATTTGAGACTCCCTTGTTTATATGCTAATAATCTTTTTAAATCATACCATATAATTGACTTGATAGATGGATGTGATATGGAAAAAATTTGTAGCATAAAATTTATAGGGGTTGAGCCCAAAGACCAATCACAAAACTGACCCATACTATTAAAATCCAGCTCACAGTCCAATTATCAAGTACCAAGGATCAAGGCCCAACTCTCTTTCTTATAATAAAGAAGTTATTCTCGTATAAGAGTCTAAGATTGAATAAGACACTTGACCTTTAGAATCTCAAAACCAAGACTTTTACGTGCTCGTTAATGATTATCTTTAATCATTTATTTTGTACTCACCGATAATTAATTTTGAGAAATAAATATACTACGAGTATCTACTCTGAATATTGAATTTTATTACACAATTTAATTCAACTCGAATTAAAATTTAACCATGAAAAAAATCAGTCAAAATATTGTTAAACCCAAATTTATTTAATTGATTTTCTAAAACGTACCAGACAAAGTATCACCAAAATCACAAATTAAGAATGATAATGGATGCTATGAACTATGACTTTCAACATGTATATAATTAAACAAAGGTATATATAACGCGTTATTAACTTTGGTGTAATTTTCATCCTTTATAGTTGTGGACTTTTCATGGTTATAATATTAATTTGTCTTTCATATATATGATGATGATATTGAATCATGGGTTGATGTCATTAACGTGACGCCTGCGACCACCGAAATGCATCGAACTTGCCTAGAAGACCTTAAAGTTTAATTTACCAGGCTTACCTTAGAAATTTAAATTATATTATGGGCCTATCATTTAACTATTTCTTGTGCTCTTAATTTATTGGGCCTAAACAAGTGTTAATCAAATTGGGGCATGTATATGTTAGAGCAAAACTGATAAAATTACCTATAGACTGACTAAAACAAAAAATATTGCATACATACTAGTAAAATAATTTATTTGCAAATATATGTCACATCTGAAAAAATTAATAGCACATATACGCGATACACATATATTTTTTTTTCTAATTTTTTCTCAAAATAATTATTAAGGTGTTGGTTTTTGAATTATAATTTTCTGATTAATTTGGATTCTAATATGTAATTTCCCATAACCATTCACCTATTTCTCTATAAGAACTCCTCCATGCGCACGGCACCTCCATTACTCTCCAATACCTTACTCTCCACGACATCTTCATCAATCTGCTTTTTTTTATTACTAGTAATCACCCGTGCGATGCACGGGGATATTATTATCTAGATTGTTTTTAAAAAACAATTTTGTATATAAATTATGGCAATGATCATGATCATAATAATAGACATATAAACATATCATTAAATTGAAAAGATCATATATTATTGAACACTTCCCTATATACAACATTATTGATTTGATTCTTTGCCACGTCATCATCGCTATAAATTAAGATTTTCAAACTTTTTCGATTAGTGACACGGGAAACAGCAACATATAACTGGCCATGACTGAACACTGATTTCTTAAGAAATAAGCCAACATGAGATAAGGATTGTCCCTGGCTCTTGTTTATAGTCATGGCGTAAGAAACCATAACGGGAAACTGTCGCCGCTGGAACTTGAAAGGAATTCTAACATTAGAAGGAGTTATGACCATTCTTGGAATCAACACCTTATCACCAGCATGATCTCCTGTGAGTATCTTACACTCAAGAACGTGAGTCGATAGCTTTGTCACTACCAATCGTGTCCCATTACACAAACCCATAGAATGATCCATGTTCCGCAACAACATGACTGGAGTTCCAATCTTCAAATACTCATGGTTCGGTATTCCGGAACACTTGATACTATTAAAAAACTCAGGCGTATGGAGATCAGACAAAAAATCATTATTAGAATCCGATTTGCACGTACTGTCAGAGCTCAAGTACATACGACCATCCAACAAATTCAATGATATCATGTACTAATTGATAGACTCGACCACATCCAACGTCGGCGCTAATATAGCCCTATCCTTCAAATAACTTGGATCGTCGGGTGTCTCTTTATACATTGGATATGTGCTTTCAACGATCTGAGCAATAGGATTATCAGATGGCTGAAGCAAAATGTCCTCGGGTATGTCTATAGGTGCACATCCATCATTCAACCCTCCGATAGCTCCATCTCCGATGTTGGCTATCCAATCTGCAAACCGTGCAAGCTCATCACGTTAATCCGAATTAGCAAGCTAGTCCCTGAAGGCGCATGTTTTTTTGTAAGCCTAAGCACAGTACAACTCCTCCATATGTCAGAAGCATTAATGGCAGCATTGACTATGTCTTGACAGCTACCCTTTGGAATGACAGGAAGGATTTGTCGAAAATCTCCACAAAAAACAACTGGCTTCCCACCAAACGGTTTGTTCAAGTTCAAAAGATCAATTACTCCCATAATACCCTGCAGCGATGTCTGTACAGCTTCGAAACAATGCTTGTGCATCATTGATGCTTCATCCCATATTATTAGAGAAACACGAATTATCAATTCCGCTAGAGGGCTTGACTGATCGATGTTGCAAGTATATTCCTGGTGGGGATTCAATGGTATAGAAAATCGAGAATGCGCTATTCGTCCACCTGGCAACAAAAGCGATGCTATTCCGCTGGATGCGACACATAAGACTATGTCACCTTTGGATCTCAAACCAGCAGATAAAGTCTTCCACAGGTACGTCTTCCCATTTCCACCATAACCATATACAAAAAGAGCCCTCCTTGGCTGGATTCAACAACAGACATAATTGTTGAGTACACACTCATCTGTTCGGCTGTCATTTTCTTAAGGAGCATATCGTGTTCAACAGCGAGGGCCTTTCGATCATAATTCAATTCATCCAAAATTAGACAATTAGAACTTGAATTGATGTTCTCCCTATCCGGAAATGGCACAGTTTCATATTCACGAAGACTTGACCCACGTCGTCTTAATAAATTCTCAATCTCAGCAAGAGCCAGGTTCTTGATTTGTTATTCAGTGAGCACCAAACCTATAAACCAATTATTTATGAGTAGGAATAAAAAAATATTAAAACGATTAGAACATTGTATATAAAGATAAAAATCAAATTATGATTAAACATATTATAAAAAGTAATTAATTACCATCATTATTCTGTAGTCGGCGATGTCTGTACAAAATGTCATCTGACATGCATTGCCAACACTTTGTCCAGACATCATCCGGCCTTCCAAATGAACCGGACACCAACAAAGATGCAAACATGCGTCTAAGGGAGTCTGCCGAAGCCCATTGACTTGCTTCTGTAATGCCGTCTATATACTCCCGATTGTCTTCCAACAAACCGTGCTCGTAGCAAGCATCACGATACGTTAGATGCTGGACTTCACCGACTTTCATATAGTTCTCATGACATGTTGCCCCACGCACAACAGTGAGCAATAATCTCAAGTAGTAATTATTTCCACTGCCGGGAGGTACGTATCGTAAACGGCCTACAGAGGGTTGGTCCTCATCTTTTCGAGGTGTCCATTACCTGATTGTTGTATTCCACACAAATTTTGATGGTGCCTCAACATACGTTAGTTCTCTTGCCTTAGGATATATTTTTTTTGTCTCGAACCACGCAAGAAATTGGCTTTCATCAACTGTGGGTTTATTGATAACATTTTCAAGATCATCATCTTCGTCAAATAAAAGGTTCTGTTCTCCAAATAAGTGAAAGTTCAAACGCTGGATGGGAGGTTTTTTGTACTGCAACTCAAAACCCAACAACCGCCATGCTGCCTCACACGAAGATATGTACCGACAATCATAATACATTGTTATCTCATCCAACGATCTCTCAATATCCCCTTCTGCAGACGTTTGATAGAATGATGCAGTCACACGATCATTACCCTTGTTGATATATTTAAATAAATATTTTATAGATCGTGATTGATTGCACCACTCAACATTAATATGCGCTCCAAACTTCGTAAGCAGACGCCGATTATGAGGCACGACATATCCATTGTGAACAACAATGCCATTCTTTTCAAGAGATGTTCCATTGTCATGACGTCTATACCGTGGATAACCATCTTCGTCAACAGTTGTGGACTCAACGAACTTCTTTGGAAATTTTTTAGTATGTTTGCCATCCACCATACAGGGCGAGTTTTTGTTTACCAGGCCACACGGTCCACGGATCATATGCTTCTTTACTGCCTCGTAATATAGAGGATCAGACGATTGATCTGGTATCTCTGCAGAGATGATTCTATCTATGTCCGATGGGTCGGGAAATTTAGCCTCCTTAGCAAGGAAGAGCAGTATATGAGCGTGAGGTAAATCACGTTTTTGAAACTCGATCGTGTATATAACTGCAATATAAAATTGTAGTTAATATTATTACTCAAAATAAATAAATGTTAAATGTATTTTTTTTTTTTGTAAATGATTAATAAATATGTTGTCACCATTATATACATTATCAAATGGCTCACCTGCTATAACCTTCCCAAATATTTTCTTTTGACAAAAATCCCTAACCAATTCCTTAAGTTTTGCTCGAAAGACCCTACAGACGATATCTAGTCTATCCTCAGGTCTCAAATTTTTCGGCTCGAGATAACGCAATATTTCTGACCATTTGGGGTTACACGTGAGTGTAATAAACAAATCAGGGTACCCAGCCCATCTACAAATTGCCATTGCATCTTGATAGTTTTCAATCATATTGCGAGCACCACCAGTGAAGCTTGAGGGAAGAATTATTCTTTTTCCTACGGTTCTTGGATCAGTGTCACCACGGAGAACGGCCTCAGCCACACCTTTGTACAAATCACAATGGAGCTTCTTCAGATTGAGACGTATATACCCCAACCTCGCAGATTCAACCACGGTATAAGCATCGACAGTAAACTGTTGATACAATCTTCTAGATGAAACAATAGTCGGTGCTTCATGTTCTCGATCGTGCATTCTATATGCAAAGTACTCTCGTACACTAACATATTTTCGACCGCCTTGTTTTACCTTCGTGCCTTCCCTAAACGGTATGTCCTCTCGATACCCATCCTCACCATAAGGCAACAAAAGAGGATATTGTAATGCCAAATATGAAGCATTAAGTTCATTTATCCGTTGAAGATGACCATTCCTAGTTTCGACCAATATGTCCCTTTCACCCATGCTAGGTCAAAATCGCCAACAACCAATACAACAACTTCTGAACTTGTAGGCAAATTATATCGTCTGGCATCTTTATATCTCCGACCAATCAAACGCACTCGAATATTTGATTTTCCATGCTCCTGCATTCTATCCCTAGCCATACGAAATGATTTCACCAATTCGTTGTGTTGATCCAACATTTGTTTCAACCCAACAACTATTTCCTCATGCAAATTATTATTCCCAGATCCGTTTCTGCAAGAAAATTGATAAGAATTATCATTATATGTTCGAGAAGGGCATTTTGAACCGTATATATGAATAAAAAATTAGAAAGAAAAACACTCAAACAAATATTGAATATCAAGTAGAGTGAATTTATACCTCATAGCATTCATTCTGTTTGAAACTTCATTCTCCGTATCATATATATATAATTATGCGAACTTCGGACATGCATCTTTAGAAGGAAGTAAACTACCGATAAGATAATAATTCTGTCCATGCAAAGAAAACAATGGTGGGCCGGTCCCCTTATTGATATCTGAATCAATCTTCCCCCCCAAAGATGTAAATCCGAACATGTTATTGTAAGAACGTATGTTCTCTTGAAAATGTTTGCTCAACTTGCCACTTCCATGAAGCAAATCTTTTAAAAATTGGGGAGGATTTCGCAAAGAAGGTAGCTGAATTTTGTCATTAATGCAACAACTGGTGTACTCAGGGACAACTGCATTTTGATAATAAGCTTTCCTCTCCTCATACCATACAACGAAAATTTGCATCTCCCATGTCCCAGTATTCTGTAAATGTTTATTCAAGTACAATATATGAGATAACATTATTTCGTAGCATAAATTTATTTTGTATATTAAAAGTACATATTAAAACTTACCAGATACCACCGACGATGTTACTGTTGTTTTTCTAGGACGTCCACGTTTCCGTTTTACTGTAGTTGGTTGATTGGGAGTATCATGTGTGAGATGAACCACTTCGCTTGCAGTTATAGTTGGAGACATCGTCTCGTTGTTAATGTGGTCGTCATCACTTGTGAGGTCTATAAGGACGCTATTGGTCGCACTGCTACTAGGATTATGGGTGAGTAATATACGACGCTTATGCTTGCTTGCTGAAAAAATAAAGAGTATAAGACATTTAATTAATTTTAAATTTATTCACATATTAAAATGTATAACAATAGATATTTTAGATAGAATAGGCTAAAGATCGAAATTCATGAATATACCAATTGAAGCATTAGACGTGCTCAAAAACCCTGTTTTATCCTGCAACATTATATAAAGTTATCCATGTCATTTAGAATTTTTGGTATATTATATGTTTTTAATATGAAAAATATAAAAAACAAATATATTTCCCAATCTACTTGGTAAGATTATGTTTTACTTATTTTTTTTAGTATAAAGTGGTGAGTGTGTGGAAATTATTTTGTACTTTAATTTTTTCATATATATATATATATATATATATTATTATATAGTGTTAAATGTAAATAGTTAAACTTGAAAAAAAAAACCTGAACAATTAAAAACCTTAATGATCAACATTATTAATAACCAATAATATCTGGTACTAAAATCAAACAAACTGAATTCCCATAATAAATTCTAAAAACCAAACCATAACCAATCTTAAACTAAATTCCAATAATAAATCCTAAATCACTCATGTTGGCGATGCCAACTTATTCAATCAAAGTACTCAAAACAAATGAAATCCTAATATAATAATAAAGTACTTCAATCAACTAACAATATCCTAGCCACTCAATTCTTCACCAAAGTTGTCCTTCATTTCATCATCTTGCTCGGTCACTTTTGTTTTGCCCTTGTCTGCAGTGGCTAATTGAGCAGCAAATCCTACCTCATCTTCATGTTTCGAACGTATTATGCCTTTAATGAATGTAACCTACAATATAAATTTATAAATATAAATTAAAATATTTTTTAAAATTATATAAATTTGATATTACAAATAAAAATATTTACCTGTTCATCATGAAACAGTATATGGCATGCGTTCAAGCTCTCCCGTTGGTGATGCGTTTCAACTATTAGGACTGCTTTCAAGTGCAAAAAAGGCTTGTTTCTCCTACTCACGGAATCGAGTGTATCCCAGACTGGCGGCATTATATTATCTATGTGTTCTGAAATTTATCTCTTTTTTTTTTCTCTGTAAAATTTATCTCCTTTTTTTGTTCTCCGAACTGTGAATGACGTGAACTTTTTTTCATTTTCTCCGAACTGTGAATGGCGTGAACTTTATTTTATACCAAACAATCGTTTTTGAACTCAAGATTCACATAATTATGTAATGATAATTATGGATCCAATTGTGATAGATATTCCATAGAGACTTATACTTATCTCTTTAATGTGACTTATCTACATATCCCAATAATATCTCTAATCAATTAATTTTTGAATTCAAGTACGAATTTTCTAAAATTTCGTGTATTATAAATAAATGCTTTAAATATGGTTCTATATTTAAAATGTNTCTAACAACAACCCTTTTATATATAGATAGATTTTTATTATTTTCCCTCTTTCTTATTCGACGCTAAAAAATACAACTACGAAAATGGCCGACGTAGATCCCCCGCACAACGTCAGTAGCAGTCCACCTGGCGGCGACGGAGACAGACCAAAACTGAGATCTAGTTTTCGTCTCCGCCAAATAAAACTAAATGTTGACCAGAAAACTCTTGCAGAAGAAGCGTGGATTCAATAACAAATCGAAGGTTAGTGGCTCAAAAAAAAGTTCGGAATAAAGGTGGCGAAGAAAGGCCCGCTCCAACATCTTCCGGCGACGTCTATAAATTCGGAAGCGGCGTCCGATCTTTCGAGTGGCAGTGGTTCGCTTGGCTCGTCCACAGGCGGCAACGACTGGTGGCGCTGATCATCTATCGAGCAAATTGGAGATGAGCGGTTGCGGCTGTGGCTTGTCTCGAGAACGGTCGTCGGCGGAGTATCAGTGACACAACGACAGCCCGGCTTGTGAGCAGCGTCAACATGTAGATAGTTTCGATCGGATCTGTTTTAATGTTTATTTACCATTTATGTTTGGTACACTAGCAGATTTTTTTGTTGATGAGAAAATTGACAAATGAGTAATTTGTTTTTATTTATTTATTATTATTATTGTTTATCTTGTTTTGAATATTCATATCAATATTTTTTTTGTTTTATTTTTATTTGTCATGTGTTTATGTTTTAGTTGTTGAGTACTTTTTGTGAACGGATGTTTGGTTTTTGTCAGGGTTCTTATTGGTTTTTATTAGCTCTGTCGTCTTGATAAAATGGTGAGAAGTTCTTATATGCAGAGGACGTCTATTTTCCCCATCTTGCACACGATTTGGTGTTCGTCGTTAATCTTTGACATCTTTTATTATAATTTCCAACCTAGTCAGTTATGTCATTGTATGTTACGAAGACGTAAATTATATATATCTACTTATATGTACAGAGACGTAAATTGCTTATATCTACTTATATGTTATACATGTAGTTACAGGTTATAAACCATGTATTAGCTGAATTTTGGTTGAGCAAAAGAACAAAATTGTAATTTAGTATTTACATTTTTTTTTTATTTTTTTGTTTTTTACATCCTGAGACCGCTTATAACATGTTTTGCATATCAATGCTGTAAAGATTGTAGGTATAAAATTAAGTAAAAAAAATATAAATAAAAAGTATAAACAAAATCCAAACATCACAATTGTGGTTAAATAATGTTATATAAATAAAAATGTAACATATACTTAAAATATACTGATATAAACGTAACATATACTGATAATATTCTTTGGCCAGTGAAATTGCGCGAAGGACTGCGATTGAGGGGGGTTGGTTTATTGGTCATCTCTTCTCTCTTCATCGTCGCCATCCTCTCTGGTGACATCCAACTCGACGCCCTCTCCATCGCCAGCCGAGTTGAGACGAAGCCAATCGAGCAATCACGCTCGACCCAAACGACGTCTTTTCGTACACCCTCACGGCCCTCGCGTTCAAAATTCAAAATATGGTGGAATTCCATTTTCGATTGTTCATTGTCGAGCTCCTTGAGGAACTCCGTGTACGAGTGTATGGCCTCCTCCTCCTGGTAGACCACAATGCGATGGGCAAGCTTGGGAGATGTCAAGTTGGCTACAAAATAGGCCTTGAAGAAGGCCCTTTGGATATGATCGCCGCCTGCCACGGAATTCAAACGGTCGCTGCCGGCCACAGAGCTCAAACGGTCACTGCCGGCCACAGAGCTTGAACGGTCGCTGCCTCCTTGAATATGAAATTAAATTGTGTAATGACTTATGAAATTAGGAATTCCTAAGAGTGATGAAGGAAGGTGAGAGAAACTGAAGGAAGTTAATGATTTGTTCTTTTCCTTTAAATATAGTTTGTTGTCGTAGCTGAAGGAAGGTGAGAGAAACATACCATTTTTTATTTTGTCATTTATTGCTAGATTTTACGTAATAAAATATGTGTAGAATGGTACACGTGCAAATAAGTTTGTACATTAGTATATTTGCAACTATTTGTTAATCACGGTGGATATGTAAATTGTCCATGAATGATTGAACACGGAAAGGATGCGTGTGTGTGTATATATATATATACACATATATTAACATAAAACCCAACTCTTTGTCTGCGTTTGGCTCAAAAGAAGGGGAGAAAGGATTTTCATCAAGTTTAGTGGGAACCAAATTAGTGTAATTGATGAAGTTATAGGGGTGTATTCCATTGAAACTGTTAAATACCTTCTCAAAAGTTTTATATGAGTGACTTTGGTGGAGTTCATATAATTTTAATGACTTTGGTGGACATTATGAGATTTTCATAAAATTTTTATTCGAGACTTTTTAAAACTTTCATTGTGTACTTTTTGAAACTTGTTAAGACTTTCGTATACCTATAGAATAACTATTTACTTTTCTTTTGTCGGAACAATAAATATTAAAAAAACATATATTTACATCTAGATAACAACCAAAAATAGGCAAATAGCCATCTAGTTGAATCTAGTGATAAGACAACCCAACAGGAAATTCAAATGTAACCGCTATTGCATTCTTTTGTGTCTGGAGGCCTAGACTACCACAACCTCCAAACACGCCATTCATACTCTCAGACGCCATGCGGATCGCCTCGTGCTGAGTGCTACCGAGGTTTGCTGCTGCCGGGAGAACGCCTTCAGCCAGCAAGGTCCGCGCTGGAGTCGCCTCCACAAAGGACGGTCGCGGCGATCGACTTGGCGCGATAAACGTGTCGCCAGGCTTCGGCAAGGTTGCACCTTATTCGGGATGGAGCACATCGCGCAAGAGACGGCGCTGCTCGGGGCGCACACAACGACCGAGCTTTCACGATAATCGTGCTGACGTCGTTGGCGCGTCCTCCGCACAAGCATTGTGTTGTCGCGTCAGGTAGGATTGAGGTCTGCAAACTGTTGAGGTGGCCGAGACTCTCTTGCTCACTGCAGTCTGACCGCGTCGAGCCATTACGTCGTCTCCCGCGATCGCGCGCGCTAGCCGCGAATGACGCTCGGCCCTGCGCCACTAGGCTTACGGGACAACAAGTTGTCTGCGGCCCTCACGCAGCCTTGCTCGGCTGCAGTCGTGCGGGTCTCCGGATATCGTCGCCAGTCGTTGAGTTCCGTCGGTCTTCGTAGTTGTCCAAGCTCGTTCGCTAACAACAGAAAAATTATACAAAATAAATTACACGAATCCTAAACCCACACATGCGTTACATGCTTGTCTAAAAATAAATAAATTTATACGGTGTCCCACCGTGCGAATAAATTTATTACAAGCAATCAGGATGCAAATTCCTCGACATTCCCGAGGCTTTAAAAACATACATGAAATTAAAATCATACATTCAAGGCCTTAATAATGGATTAATAATTAAGCATGCAAAAATGAGTTATGCAATAATAATAATCCACTAATTATAAGTCGCTCCTTGAACACATTTAATTCATGCATATATAACAATTAAAGTCTAACGACTCGAACTTTACAAAAAAACCGAATTAAAAGAAGTGATTTGATACCACTTGTTGGGGTTCTATTAGGAATGTAATGTCATGCAAGTTACAAATCTTAAAGTCTACAAAAGATTAAGCCTGAGCGTAGCTGACTAGAGTTATAATCGAATACTCACGATGTAAAATTCGCAAACACTGAGAGATTTCTAATTTTCGTTGATGGAGATCGGTTGATCGCTCGACAATCGTCGAAATCGGAAATGGATCGTCGGAGGGATCAGATTGCCAGTCGGAGTGAAACTCGTCATTGGACGACAGGTCTTCAAGGCTGCGTCGAGGCGACAGACAACGACTGATCGACGGCGACGGCGGTGGGCAGAGACGAGGTCTCGGTTTTATCTTAGACTTCTATTGTATTACCTCTACAAACTTTGTTCGTTTTGGTGACTAACTCACAAAGCTCTCAAGTTTGATTTTCACCACCAAGAGATGTGTGTATTTATAGGCTACAATAGGGACCCTAGGAGGTGCCAAATATGAGCCCAATCGTGGGCCAAGCCCACTGCGCTCATATTTGAACGGTTATTCAGTCCACTTAAGAAAAAACGCTGATGTCCCCATTTGGCTCTCGAATTACAATTCGAAGCTCTGATAATAATTACTCAATTTATCTTTCCGTGTTTAAGATATTCCGTCAATTAATTAATCACTGATAATATATTAATTAACTTATTATGTCGAGACTAGTACCATTCAATGCTTTATTATTATGTCAGAACTTAACCCATATGCATGGTTTAACATAATAATCTTTCTTGAACTCATCTCAGGGACATCATCAGACTTTTGCACACGGTGACCGTGAATAATCGAACAACTTACCATACACACAACATCACTACCCAAAACACATCAGACTATTGATCCAAATGGATCTCACTTTTAGTGAACAAAGTAGCGTTACTGTTCGCTGATCAATTTAAATCAGTCTTATCCTCTTTGGGATCCGTTCAATGCTCACAGTGCACTAGTGCAACCAATCAGTTAAGACAGACTGTACAATTGACACTATATCATTGGCGATGGGTTGTTCATCTCCAATAGGTTGTGAACTAATTATTTATGTTTTACAAGTACCCAATACGCGATCTTCTATCTCATCCGTGATGGACCATAATATCCAAATGTAAAGTAAAACATTAGAATATAAAATAGTTTAATTAAATGTGATTCATTCAAAAGAAAAGCAGTGTTTATTACTAAAAATGCCAAGCTTAAAATATATATACACTAACACAACTTGTTCAGGACTCATGTTGTAGTTAGAATCATTTTAGTTCATTGGATCAGAGTTATTCTGATCCATAGTCATCATTTTCTTACCTAAGGCACTACCTATGGCTTCTTCAATTGGTGCCCATATGGAGCCCAATGTGTTCTCTTTTGAATCATTTGGAACAGAAGCAAGAACAAATTTAGGGTCATTAGACTGACTAGGCTTGTTGGGCTCATTAGGGTCAACAACAAGATCCATAGAATTAAGAGCCCTCACATCAACATATAAATGCATCTCTCTAGTTCTAACAACATCGTGCACAAAATTATAAAGGTCTCTATAACTGCACCATAATATAAACCCACTACTATCATACATGTAAACCTCATATCTCTAGTGACCCCTTCATTTTTGCACCACTCACTGACAGTCAACAATCCAAATTCTTGTGGGGTGACTTAATCAACTATAAAAATTATCCTCCTTCATATTTTGGTGTTGAAAAATGATCAAATTTCTCATTCTAATGCACAATCAATGAGAAAGAATCAAACGATGGATCTGTAAGTTTTTGAAAAAAAAAAAAGTTGTCAATAAACAAACACCCCACGGTTCCCCCACGAACATTTTATAAACCCAAAACAATAAATAAATTAAAATGAAGAATCTTTCCAAAAGAAGTGGCCCACGAATACAAAACAATGGACAAAATGTCAAAAAACAGACACCAGAGAACCAAAAATCCAGAAACCAATGGAACAAAAAGTCTATAAACAAAACCAAAACAAACACAAAAGAAAACTTACGATATATGGGAGGAGGCAACTTTAGGTGCAATTTTTGACGCAGGAATCCCATCTGCGTTTAGCCTTATGCTCAATTGTGTTTTCGATCAAAACAAAATTAATGGCGAATTTAGGGCCAATTTTGGAATTAGGGTTCTTAATATTAGGAGTCGAGAAATTTAGTTTTGGGGAGAAGAATGATGAGTTTTCCCTATTCTGTCTTGAGTATGGGAAAACTTGATTTATAATTCCTTGTTTTACTCAAATCAGGTCTCTTATGGAAACTCAATAACACCATATTATTAGGTTATAAAGGGACAAAAATCGTCAAGTTAAGACTAAAAATAAACTCATGATTATGAATGATATGATTAGGCATCAAAATGACAACTCATTAAGAGGTGAAATTTCATACTCAAACTCACTCGATCGCTTCATTGCGATTTAAATGTGTTACCTTTTACATGCCAATGATGCTAATGCATCTCATCCATTTCATTTCACTCCATAACTTCTCACCTAACATTTACATTTAAAGTAAAATAGAGTAGAATAAGCCAAGAAGGTGACAAATGCCAAAAAAGAAAACACAGGAAACAGGGACCTCGCTATATATGTAGTTATGTACCAAGTTGTGCTCACAATGTAGCACAGCCCACGGCGTATTTTAGCAAGCACATTCAATAAATTTGAATTTTTAAACGGGGGCCCTATAAATAAAAACCAAAC